TGTTACTGTCGCTCTCGCCTTTGCTTGGGAGGCAATCTTGGACTTGGCGCGCCTTCCGACAATTGAGGAAAGCACCCCACTGGGGTCGGTGCTGATCTGAGAGACTCCTAGTGCACCACGAAAGACACAGAAGATCCAACACTGTGTTGTTCAAAATAGGGGCATCCATCGGCATCCAATACAACAAGGCAAACCACTACCATTCGCCCAGGCATGAAAGAGTGATTTTGAAAAACAGCTGACGCCGTCAACGACTGTCGGGGGGGAGGAGGCCCAAGAAGCTGCTGGGACTGTGACTGCCACAGTTGCCAGAGCTGGCTTCTTCTTTCCACGCAAGGATCTTCCAGGAGCTTCTGCTACCCTCCCTGCAAAAACCAACATGGACCGCCCAATGGTCATGTGTTTCCCAAATTGTTCGGAGGGCAGCGCATCAACCCGCTTAATAATCACACGTACGAGGTTTAAAGGTGCCTTTTGGAAATAAATAGATGGGCTCCGGTGATGTTTCTTTGGAATCACATATTTTGGAAATCACGCCTGGAGGGTCCAGGTGTTTTTTCTTTTTGAAATCACGCCCGGGGGGTCCAGGTGTTTATTGTGTTTTTGAAATCACGCCTGGGGGGTCCCGGTGCTTTTTTTGATTGACATCTCGCCGGGGGGGTCCCGGTGCTTTTTTTCTTTCAAATCACGCCGGGGGTATCCTGGGGTATTTCGGTGTTGTTGTTTTTGAAATCACGCCTGGGGGGGTGCAGGTGATTTGTTGTTTTTAATTACGCCGTGCTCTTGTTGTTTTTTTGAAATCACGCCTGGGGGTCCCGGCGTGTTTCTTTTTTGAAATCACGCCTGGGGGGGTCCCGGTGTGTCTTTTTCAAATCACGCCTTGGGGCTCCATTTTTTTTTGAATTCACGCCCGTGTTTGTTCTTTTGAAATCACGCCCAGGCGTGATGTAAACAAAGAAGACACTAGGACCCCCAGGCGTGATTTCACAGCCCAGAGGCGTGAATTCCACAAGGCGTGAATTCAAAAGAAAAAAGCCCCGGCCCACAGGCATGAATGCAACAAAACAAGCACCGTGACCTCCAGGCGTGATTTCAAAAAAACAACAACACCGAAATACCCCAAGGATACCCCAGGCGTGACTTCAAACAAAAAAACACCGGGACCCCCCCCGGCGTGATTTCAAACAAAAAAAGCACCTGCACCCCCCAGGAGTGGAAAAAGACGGGACCGAGGTGTTTTTTCTTTGCAATCACCAGTCACTCAATTTATTACTTGCTCGCTTCGTCTGTGAGAAAAAGAACGCAAACATGAGAATCCAAAATGAGCAATTTCAAAAAGAACACGGCTGGTGTAAATTCAAAGGAGGTTTAAAGGTGGCTTTCGGCTACACACATATATATATACATACAGATAAATACACATGAACATATATAAATATAGATATGTAATCGTTTAGGAAACCCGGTGGGATTGAACCTTGAACACACTGGAGCACCAACCGGTCTCCTCCAGGGCGACCAGCAACTGGCGCCCGGTGAGGCGCACGACCGCCGGGTGCTTGGGGAAAGGCATCTCTTCCTTCACCTGACCCGTGGGTATCAGCTTTACCCTCCCACCAATTAACATGGCCATGGGTCAAAACCCTGGTTAGCCCCCAGTGAACATCCCAATCCAGCCACTAAATAGAAGAAAATGGGTGGTGCACCTATCCCAAAATGGTACATGCTTGGTTGCTTTCTGCTCCCCTGCTAAACGTGACTCACTTTTAGTGGTTTAATCCGGAAAACCCATTAGTTTGCAAAAAGGTAAAGTCCTAACATCTAAGCAAGATGCACCAAAGCATGGGAGTCCGCTTTCCCTTACCTCCCACCAATATTAGCATGGAACCTGACAGGGGGGGGGTCTCATGGAAGGCCATGCTCCTTTTAAAGGGGACCGGGTCCCTGTCAGGTTCCATGTGAGTGGGTGGGAGGGTATTTGGTGGTTTGGATTTGTGGTTTGGGGAATTATCAAATGAGAAACGCCCCCTCAACCTCCAAACCACCCATTTGAGGGAAGCTGAGTACCCTGTGTATTTTGCATTGTTGCTGGCACACAATGCGAGCAACCAAACAGTTGCATAGAGTGTCATTTTTAGGGGGACCCCAAAAATGGCTTCGGTGGCCCCTTATTTTTCCCAGCCAAACAAAGAAACCAACGGCCGCCCATAGAACCGACACGCCATAAATTCAATTTCCCTCCCGCACCTGGAGCACTCCTGGAGCCCACATAGACAATGGGACCCCGCGAACAGTTTGTGTGCTGCGACACCCTCGTTTTGGCTGGATGAGTTTCATTCTTGGACCCTGGCGCCGCCTGGCGCTGCCTGGCGCCGGCTTTCAAGGGAACACGTAAAAACACTAAATAGGGCCTGCAACTTTGACAACCCAAACGTTCACCTGGAAAAAGTAAGGTTGGTAAACCAAGCAGCAACGAAAGGATTGCTCCTCCAAGGATTTGTGGAGACGTTTCACCACGCAACTGTAACTCGCTCCACTCAAGGTTCGTCAAAACAGGGCAAACGCAGTTTGTTTGGATTTCTGGGCGTCCGAAAGCTGCCGTCATTTGATGCCCTTCCGGTATGAAGTAACGGGCCGTTTTGTCTTGCCACTGACTTTACGTTGGTTGCTCCTTTGTGCGCGTCAGGAAAAAGCACGCCTCCTGGACGGTCAGTCCAGTGAATGGAGGATACTCGCGGTCCTGACAGCCCGAACTCTGCACCCAACGCCACTGCCAAGAAAGCACAAACCAAGTTCTGAAGGGCCGGCCAACAAGCTTATGTTACGTTGATTTACCCGGATCTCACGAATTCAAAACGTGGGACCTACCTCGTGGCCGTGCCACAAGCTGGACTCCGAAAGATTCTTTCAATTGCTTTCAGCCTGGATGAGCCTTTGCTATTGCTTCCTCACGCCATCTGTGCGCTGCCCTCCCTTGCTTTCCTGTCATACCAGCTGAACACCAGATTTGGCATCCTTTTTGTCCTCCCTCTGCGTGGATTTTAAAGGCGTCTGAACCTAACAATGAAACCATTAAAGTGTTAAGCACCAAAACTAATTGCAGGAGGGGAAGCAGTTCATTGTCCATAGGTCTTTTGCCCTCTTAAATGGGGAAGCGCCTCTCAAAAACTGGGGACATCGATGCTTTCTTCACCCGATGGGAAACAAACAGACACATGCGGAGAATTGAGACACATTAGGTGTTTTGAGAACACCCTTCCCAGGCTGGCTCAGAAAAGAGCAGCACCACGGCTGATAAGTTGCGAATACAAGCGCGCGTATTGGGGTAAGTCTTCTTTTTTTGTGTCGTTGTGGATCCTGTCTACTGGGCATTTCAACGCATACTGCATGTGCGGCCAGTTGAAACATATGCACTATTCCGGTGAGATCGCAAAGGTTCTTGGCTGGTTGCGACCAAGTACGGATTTTGTACGCAGCAGCATGCTTGCAACAAAAGTAAAACCAAAAGGAAAGCCACCATTTTGGGGAATTCCGTGAATTGACACACCCATCCGGCTTCCCCGCCTGGCGAATAAAGCCGCCGTTGATGATGGCCCCCTGCACCGATAAGGTCTCCTTCTGCCGCACCGCCCAAAGCATCGCGTCCGCCACCTCACTAGCCCGGCCCTGTCAGGCCCCATTAGTTTACCACTATCAAAGTCACCTCCAAAGTAATAGGTTAGAGGGAAACACCCCCAGTGGCTGACTTTGATAACCCAACAGTCGAAATAATGACCCCAGCCTGTGCTAACAAACCCTCCTGATGGACAATTCCCCCCAAAGAACATCAGGGGATGCGGGAGATCGTACATGCTTATTTAAGCTTCCCATTTCGCACATGGTCCAGCCCTTTATTGCCCAGGCTGGACAACCAGTTCATAGTTGTAGGCCATACTCCTAGCCAACCCTCTGCAAATTTTGATCTAGTGATTTGCATTGCTTGTTTTCATGGCTTTCTGCCTAGTCCAACCAGTCAGCTCACTGTCGAATGAGCAGCTAGAAGTGGAGGGTCAAAAAGGCCTCCTCAATGCATGCATGTTTTAACACATGTCTCAATATCTACGCAGTCTATACATATCATGTCATTTACCTTTGCGCAAAAACGGAAGCATTGTGTATGTTTCTTGAGGGTATGTAACGCGCGGGCACGAATCTTGTTCCGAAGGTTGTCCTTGCTACCTAGGCGCGTAATGGGAAACCGGTGCTTGACAGTTACGGGCGCAGCAGCAAAGTGCATGTCCGCAGCTCCAGCCCGAAATTTGGAGCTGTTCAGCGCAAGCCGACGACGGCCAAAAGAGGTCGCTGGCCCAGGCTGGGGTTGGGCATCGAGGTTGTGACAACTATGTAACAAGATATGGCACAAATTCTTGCTTTCGGCCCTCCCTTTGGCCTGTTCCAACTTTTCTTCTGAACGACAAGCTCTCCAAATGCTCTGTAAAAATATGTGGCACCGGGGTATGCAACGAGGGGCATGCAACCAGCCAAACGGTTTTGTTAATGCGAGGTACGTAATGAAAGTATGTAAATAATGTCCGCCGCGGTTGTGTTCCAGACCCCTCGCAAAATTCAGTGCCATGCACATGATCACCCCCCCATCCCCCATGAACTACCTCTGTTGCTGCGCCGCCAAAAAATAAAAAATAACTTTTGTGCATGCTTTTGTCATAAGGACGATGTTAAGCAAAATGGATTCGGTTTTGGATTTGCACTACCAAAACCCGCAGAAAATACGATTTGCGAATGCGTGGATGCAAAAACACCGTGTTCTTAGCAACTTTGTAGTTTGGGGGGAGACGACGAAGCACCATCGAAAAAGACCATCCATACGGCAGAGAAACAAAAAAAACAAAACTCTGAGGAACAGTTTTGGTGTTGCCAAAAGTTTTGGCCCTGTTGGTTTTCTCGAGACCCTGCATATCACCCCAAAGGAAACCCGCATCAAGCTAGCCAGGAAGGGGAGGTTTGCTTTTGGAAAAGGGCGGTCAAAAATGCGGTCTCTTGGAATTGGCACTGGCGCTCGTGCTTTTGGGGCCATCCATCCATCCATTCATTCATCCATTCATGCATCCATACATCCATGCATCGAGCTCCGTGCTTCGTTCACGCCGCGGCGCGAGGCACCCGAAGCCGCTCTCGCGGCTCCGGAGCTCTGCGGTGCGGCTGGAGAGCGCCGAGGCGGTGCACAGCACATCCTGGCCGATGGTGACACATTTAGGCGCCGTTGCCTTAAGGCTGGCGTTTACCAAGTGGTTTTTGGATGTTTTTTGGATGTTTTTGGATGTTAACAGTGGACTACGTATGCAAAAGAGGTCAATGGGCAAGTGCCTTACCCCCCCCGCCTTCCTTTCGGTTGAAAAGGCCATGAGCAGCCGCGACAGGACCGGGAACTTCTGTACAAGAAGGGTCGGTTTGGTTTCCTGCGAGGAAGAAGAGTTCACTCCTCCGGGTTTTCCCTGCTCACCTCCCATGAGTGAATCGACATGGTGGGACCTACAGACAGCAACTCGATGGCAGCTGCAGTTCTCATGGTCCATTGCTTTCGCCTCACTCAGAGAAGGGGAAGCCCGATCCCCCCAAAAGACTTCAAGCTCGCCCAGTAGAAGCATCGCCTCCGGAGGCCTTTTCCAGCCAATCCATGGTCTCTACCGATACTCGATAGGACTGGGGGTGTGTAAAGGCCTAGCGCCCTTGAAATAAGTTGGTCTCATCTCACAAGTTGCTGTCAAGCGTCAAATGCGCTGTGAGAAAGACATGCAAAAACTAATGCTATACATTGGCATGCCCCCATCTCGAATCCATGATCGCCCCGTGCAATTGTGGTGTTCGATCCCTCCCCAATCCCATCGGACAATTGGTGCGGAAGCTGGCATCTCTTCAAACAGGACCTTCCGCTTTCAAAGAAATCCGCCGACCAACACTGAAGAGGGCTTCGAATTCTGGAGGAATTTTCACGGCCGCAACTTAGACTGGTTGCCATTGCTATCCATTGCCGCGGCTGAACCCTTACAGCTCCCTGCCGAAGCTTACCACCAACTCACCAAGCAGCAGGCTCAAATCATTACAATGTCCAATATAAAGATTTGACGGCTCGAATCGAAGGCGCCTGGTCTCCATTGACCTTCCACTTGTCGATGGCTCGTAGCACCGTGGGGTCTGGCGCCACCTGGATATGCGCTCCGTCTCCCTGGCTTTTGTTTTGGACATTCGGCGAGTCCCTCCATCCCTGGATCTCGGGACCGAACCGGAAATGGGGGGTGGTTCGTTTGTTGGAGCTAGGCTGGGGGGTGTCAGGGGGAACCAAAAGAAAACACTCCAAAGAAAATCATCAAAGGAGAACGATCAAAAGAGAGAACCACCACAAAAAGAATTAGAAAATCACAAAAATGAAAACCACTGCGCGAAAAACATGAGGCACCTGGCTAGTGGTCTGTAGCTGGAAGGAGTGTGCCACTGACAGCCCCGACAGCGAATCGGAAGGCGAGCGGTGGAAGTGGAAATCCAGCACCCCCAAGTGGTCCTCAGCGCACAGCATCCAATACAGAAATTGCAATGAACACTCTCAAAATGGGCGACCAGAACATGGTTGGCTTTTGATGGTAAAGTGCCTATTTATTGTGTGCCGCTCAACCCCCCAAAGATTTTTGGTTTCGTCCTGGTTTCCCTTAGGTCTTTTCATTGCCTTCCGAGATGAACACTTCGCAACCCATGTCCAAGATCGGTCCAACTACTCCTATGTGGCTCAGTTCCATCGTCACCCTGGTAGGAAAAGGGAATGCGTAGAGTTCGGCTTTCATTTCCAGGTCTTCATGTGGGTTGCTTGACATAGGGAAGCCTACGAAGCCTGCATGATGGGTGATTCCCTTTTGTTGCTTGATCATTTTGTGTGGGGAACCCACAAACAACAATGGGGAATGGCACCACTGAACTGCTGAGCGAGTCTCCAAATCGGAATGTTGGGGCTACCCTCTTACCCTCCAAACATAAAAAGAAAAACCCCCGCATGTTCGAGATCTTAAGTTGATTTTTGGCTACAGACCCTCATGGGGCTATGGGGCTGGAAGGTTTAACAACCGTGGACCGGTTTGCGGGTTCTCCGTTGCCACTGGTAACAAGCATTTTTCAATTTTCCAGTCTAGTGCGATTCCCTTGGTTATGTAAGTGAAAGGATCTGGGTATGATACCGGGCTTACTTTTTTCGTTCATCTAATCCCTTCCCCCTAGTAAAGGCACCTCTTTCAATCAACAATATGCTTTGCAAAACTCTGGGGGCCCCAATGCTATATAAATCAAACTAGCTCAATTTCAAGCCCACACTACACTCCGGATTTCTCCCACCGACCCACTTTTCATCAGTCACCAAGCAGCCCGGGCTTCTGCTCCCTTATAAACTCTTTATTTAAAAACAAGCATCCGTTGTGGGGGCCCGGAAGGGGGAGTCACTTTGTTAAGTCGAAGCCCGAGACTAAAGAGGTGAACAAACAAATGAACTGGACATCCCAAACCTGGAACTCGGAACTGCTAGTAATAAGGCTAATAAGATTGATTTCCAGGGACTTTTGCTTATTAGGGGGGTAATTCAATAACAGACAATCCCACTTTGGGAGTGTTGACCCGGATCCCCAGGATGCATGCTTGTTGAGGACAGAGGGTTGCTTCAATGGATGCTTGCGCGGAGTTTTTGTGGCTGACATTCTTGCCGAGGCAAACAAGAAGCACAAATTTGCGGGCTGGGCGCAAAGCCCATGAATCACGTTCAAGATTGTGTGTGGGCGTATGGGTATGTATCAACTTTGGACCCCATCAAGGGCGGCATTTTGACGGCCAGTTTGCATACATTACAGAGGAAATGCAACTAACCCCTGCCATCTCAATGTAAGAACCCCCCCCCTTCAACCAGGCAGAATCTGGGTGGCCTCTTACCTCTTGCCCATTGTTTTAGGACCACTTTGGCATACCAACAGGAATCTGAATTTCCAGATTCCTAACCATGCTCCTGAAAAGGTTGCCTCCAAAAAACCACCCTGAGCAGAACACCACGCCACCGGCCTCAGGGACAAGCTGCACCACTGCCTTGTGTGATGTACTTTTCCGCAGCCCAGGCGCCGCATTCTGCCCGCACTTGGCGATGAGGACGCCGTGATGCACCAGGAAGAAGGGGTCGTGATCGTGGCCACCCAGGATGGCAGTGAGAGCAGGACAGGCTTGGGCCAACTCCTTGTCCTGCCAAAGGTGAAGCGCTTGGTCGTTGCTGGCCATTGGCAGAAATAAACACATCAACATCTAACATGACGCCAACTAAGAGGTCCCAAGATTTGGGAAGTGGATGGTGAGGGGAAGAAGCCCAAGTCCAACTTTCACGGAGAAGTATAAAACAACAGAAATTCCAGTGGAGCCGGGGCCCGTTTGTTTTTTTTTGTTTCTTTACCTTTGTTTTTTTTTTTCTCTGGAGGGACCCTGTTCTGGCCGTCCTGGTGGAGGCTCAAGTGAGTCAGCGCCAAAATCACTTCGCACCCCTCCGCTTGCAGCAGCTTGATGCATCTGCGCATGTGCCGTGAAAACAACCAAAAAACAACAAACACATGGCTGCTAAATATGTTTGCCGTGGTTCGTCCAGAACATGAGCTTCACGGCTTCAACGGCTTAGCAACATCAAACACTGGGGCCATTTTTTACGCCTATCACAGAGCATAGCCCCCTGCAAAGTAACACAAAAGTCAACAGCGGGGTCCCCCAGCTGGAGGCTTTTCTCAAGACGAGGGTGTTGGGTTCCTTGCGCTTGGGGGCGGGCGGAAGAATACATTTGTGCTTGGTCCCGCATGTTCCACGAGGCAAGGCCACATGCTCGCTCTTTCGCGCCACTCTTCTAACAGCTTAGGGTTTGGGAGGTGCACACTAAAGCGCCATGTCACATGAGAGTGCGAGGGTAGCTGCCTTACGCAGCTGCACATGGCCTAAAGACTACACAGAACATGATCGCAGCCTCACAACGACAAGGACAGCATATTGAAGCACCGCGCGATTTTGCCGGATAAGGTGGCTATAAGGGTTTCTTCCTCTCTATCCTCTCCCGCTGACTGGAAACTTGGTTGACAATGGGAATGAAACAGGCGATGTCGTAACTGCCTATGGGACCTTGAGCGTCGCCTGAGGGAAGCCTACCAGCCCAAACATAGAACTAGAGCTGGCGCATCCGTGGACCTCAGAAAGCGACAAGGCACTCGTGGAGCGGCTGCCACCCGACGCCCCGACGCCCCGCTCCGCGCATCTCCGCGCCTGTGGGCCTGGCGGATGGGATCCTCGAAGCGGATGCCTTGCCCCGGATGCGACAGCTGGGGCGTGGCGGCCGTGCAGAGCCCGAAGAGCCCCACCCGCACGGCGCCTACCGGGGGGGGTTCACTTCACAGTTTGCACAAAGGGATGACCCGAAAACAAGGGACAAACTTCTCTCCAAATGTTTTGGGATTCCCAAAAAGCAAATCATGTCCAAACCAGTTGCAGCTAGACCGCTTTGGGGCCTTTTTTTGTCGCCCAACACATCTCACGCCGGCGGGGGTTGGGGACACAGCGGCTGTGACCGCTGGACCCCGACCACAAATGCTTCTCTCTCTCTCTCTCTCTCTCTCTCTCTCTCGTGCCATCGACCACAAATGTTTGGTGTGTCTTTTTTTTCGTGTTAGGGGGGAGCCTTTTCTTTAAGAAAGCACACAGGACACCACCTATTTTTAGGGGAATAGCAGGAAACAAGTGAACTAATAAACAAATGTCCGGGCAGATTCGCATATCGTGTGACCGACTGTTGTTGTAAACGTGCTTTCGTTTTTTCCGTAAACGAAGCGAGACATTGTTTAGAGTGCACCATGTCCCCCTCTGGCAATCAAACTCATGAATCCAACAGAGACCCCTCATCGAACTTGACATGGCTTTCTTCCTTCCTACTGACTATTGCTGATCCATGTTCAAATCCCCACCCCTCTTTGTCCTTATCTGGGTGCAAAATAGGTCTGGACAAATCAGCCATTTCTCCATCCCCTTTCAGCTCCTTGAGGGGAAACCGAAATCAATCGACTTCTTGCGTGTGTTATTTGGCGCCGCCCGGTGTTTTTGGCCATACTTCTGCTGAACGGGGGCTTGGGACGCGGCCCCGCGGGCCCGCCTCCTTCCAGTGGCACCTCAAAGCTATCCGTGTCCACCGTGCTGTGGAACAGCTCCCCCGAGCTTGCCTGCGGCAGGCTGGTGAAAGGGGGGGGGGGAAAAGGATGCCTGAAAGTGGGTTGTCTTGTTGGTGCGATAGGTAGGGAATGAGGGAATGAGCCCAGGAATTCCCTTAAAGGAAACCATAAGTTTTTTCTAAGGGCCACTCCTTCATTCCCAAGTTGCTTCCTTCTGGCGTCCCTGAGTCTACCATGTTGCGAACCGCCCGCCCCGATATCAGTGGCTAAGCATGGTTACAAGTGGGGAAAAAGAGGGTCAAATGCAGAAATTCATGGCTATTTTAACGGACACTACACATCAAATGTTAGGGTCAACTGTACTTTATGTTCCAAACAAAAAATTAGAACATGTAGAAATAGCCTGTAAGGACAAAGATCTGGTAAATAGATTGGAGTCTATGCTTGTGTGGTTGACTCACGACCATTAAACTGCTTTCCATCTGAACATCCAAAGCAAATTGTAACAGCCTCCCTTACCTGGGTTCCTCCTATCTTCTTCGAACAGTCACACCTGAAGGAACTAGGACCTACATCGCCATTCTTCGACCTTGGCAACCACCCACCAAAACAGGGGGCCCATACCCTCCTGTCCAACAGTGGGCCCCTGTCTTTTACCCCCCCTCACCCGCCGGGGCCCCACACCTACCCACCTTCCCCCGCCTGGCCTCCCGCACGTTGGAGCCCAGCCAAGGGAAGCGGCTGAGGCTCATGAGCTCCCGCAGCCGCTCCCCGCCGTAGTCGAACTCGTGGTTGCCCAGGCAGCAGTAGTCCTCGGGCATGGGGCGGATTGAGCTTAGCTCGGGCTCAAGGAAAGCTTTTGGAGAGCAAAATGATTGGAAAGTACGGAGAGAAAAAAGCTCAAAAGGGGCAACGAGAAGTGCAAAAAAAACAAAAGGATTACCGGTTAAACTCCAAAATTCCAGAAACACGAAACCTTGAAGGGGCAGAGGGACAGGCAAAACAAAGACAAAAAGGGACGAGTCTAGCCATGGATCCACCCCTGTGGCATTCAGTACTTCCACCGTGGACTCGCCCCTGTGCTCGCTGGCGAAGAGGGACCCACCCAGCACATCCCCGGGGAGCACCAGCTTGCAGCGCGGCCACTGGGCAGAAGTGGCAAAAACCCATCAACCAGGTCCTTGTTATCTGGGTGCTAGCTAGGGGCCTGGAAAAATCAAAGCAAAGTTGTTCTATTGCTGGCTTCTTTCAAGGAAAGCTAAGACTTATGTGCTCATGATTTAGCTGTCAGCCTGATTGAAAGAGATTGACAAACTTGCCCCCAGCGCAAGTTTCATCAAGAGTTCACCTAGAACGACGACCCCGCGAGAAGCCAAAGGGTATCGGTCGACGTATGTGCCGCCTGAAAGTCGCTCGCAAGGCTTCGGACTAGGGCAAACCTCTCGGGCTTGTAGACATCGTTCACGGTGAGGATTCGTAAGTCAGGTGCTCGGCTCTTCGAATTCCCCTCGTCCCGCTTCCGGGCGGAAAATGCGAAGCAGCCCTCCAGGCATCCCATATGCTCACGGTGGAAGGGTGAGCATGACTAAAACGGCAAACTTTGAGCCGCCACACTAAGCATCCAAGTCTGCCTTGGCAAAAACTGGCAGCTGTCTGGGCCAGGCACTTCCTGGGAAATGCTTAAACCCAGCTCTTTCAAGGGGCCGGTCCTTCAAATCCAGCATGTGTTCCTCGAGGTCATCTCTAATGGCATAGGCAGTGAGTAGCCCCACGAGCCAAAGGCTCCTTCTCATGGCCTTGGCTCGTGGCGAACCGGGTGGTGGGGTGAGCTCAGCGCCGAATTGTCAGCTACTGGTAGACAAATCCTCCAATCATACACCCTTCGCTGGTCCAATGTCCCACAAAGATGGAATTGGAGGGGAAAAAACAACTGCGCTCAACTAAACACCTCCGCCTGCTGACCACAATGAGTCTTGCGTGCTTGCTGTTGGACCTGAGCACTAGTTGCCTGCAAGGTGTGTCAAAACTGCGTGGGCGGCACTCCAATTTCATTTGTTTCATTATGCTTTCCATTGAGCAACCACCCAGCAAATATGCATATATATATATATCATTATGATTTTTGTTATTATTATTAGTATTATTATTATTATTATTATTATTATTATTATTATTATTATTATTATTATTATTATTATCATCATTATTATGATTCTGATTATTATTATTATGATTATGTATATATGCATTATATGTATAAATCAATCTCAGACAGTGTCTCATACAGCCCAGTAGCCAGCTAGATCAGCTGCCTGGCCAATGGCCAGGGACACCAGCAACCTCAGATTGGGCTGGCATGTGTCAAATGACTGAGCCACCTGGACCCCAGAACGGCGTTCCTCCTGTTCTCCCTTTCAAAAGGCACCTCCCATTTTTTTTAAAGACAGTCCAACTGCGCACCCAGCTCAGATCTTCCAAGGTGCTGCAAGCAGTGCTGGAAAGGCTTGGACTTAGGCTAATTTGAGCTGAACGGCCGCAAGGCAGGGGCAATCTGCAAGGCCTTCAGCGCATGCTAGCCCCAAGATAGTGTGAAGTCAAGAAACAAAAGACACCTATTCACGGCTTACTTTTGCCGTACCAAGGCCCACACAGGAATACAGCTACCTGTTGACCATGGCCACACTGCCCTTCACGGGACGCCCCCCCCCCCCCCCACACACTTCTGCAACAGGCTGACAGCCCATATGATATGCCTTCTCCGTGAAATGTCCAGGGCTCCGCGTTTCTTTCCCGCAAGGGCTCAAACCCCAAGTGCCTTCCGGAAATACACCAAGCTAGTTGAAGTCCTGGCTGACCCAGACCTGGTCCCCACAACCCACAGGGCTCCAACCCAGAGGCATGCGCTGCCATGACAGCCGCGGTGTTGCCCATCGACAGGTTCCGGCTGCGGCCTGAGAGGTTCGACATGCTCAATATGTCGCAACTCGAATTGTGTAGCCAAGGTGAGCCGCGGGGGGCTGGGGTTGACCTTTGAGGCTGCAAACTTCGGAGTGCTGGTGAGCATCCACAGGCACAACCCCCCTTGGCCGCTTGGCCGCTGTTGATCCATGCCGGCTTTGACCGGAGCCCAGACGATGCTATGCAAAGGCTCACTGAGATCTTAGCTCATCTGCTCGGCCTGATGGCTTCACATCATGGGCCAAGACTTGGCCATGTGAGTCAAAGCCTAAAGGCATGGAGTGTCCAGGCTCGAAGCAGACGCAACCACTGGTCGGCAATCCCAATTTGAGGAATTCATGACCCCCTCAAAAAGGATGATCCTTTAGCTCGCACTACCTCACACGTCTTGGACCCTACCCTACCCCCAGACCCCTTACAATAAGTCCGTGTCTACCAATCCTGGCCCATCTGGCTCATGGCCAGATGACATGAATCCCGGGCCTTGTGTATCCGAGCCATGAGCACAGCAGAGCTGTTCACGCCAAGGATGGGCCTGGCCATCGGCCAGCAGAGAAGCGAATCAGCTGAGCCATGCGCGCACCGGGACGCTTTTGCCGCCGCTGAAGGGCCGTTTTTGGCTATGCCTCTTCTCACAACAGCAACACGGATTTCAGCCGGCCCTTAAAGAGATGCCAAAGCGCTTTCACCAAAAACCTGCCCCCGCCGTTCTGTTCCCATTTTTGGAATGCAATGCTCACCCCACCCTCCCCCCTCACTGCGAAACATCCGCGCCCTTGTGCCATGATCTCCGCGGCCAGGTGGACCTCTCGCAACAGGACACACCAGATATGGTTTCTCGCAAGGAACTTCGTGGCACAGTGTCCCACAACCCACTTCTGTTTTGTTCGTTCAATGAAAGCCAACTGTGGCTGGGTCATGTGCGGGCAGCTCCCAAGCCAAATTTAGCCAGGCGCGGCCACGCGCGGGACAAAGCACAGCGCAGCACCAGATCTGAGAGCTCTGCCGGCAGTCCGCGCAAACTAATCTCGGCTCTCTGGTCAACGCCTCAAATCAAGAAAGCGAGGGCAACAGCGCCGCTTGAGTCTTGACCACAGGGGCATGTTGTTTCATATCTTTGTCAGTCAGGGACCCTTTTGATGGACATCATTTACCTGGGGATCTCCACCCACCACTGCTTGTGAGGGCACAAGCATAAGCTGCACCAGCCGGGCAAGCTGAGCGCAACGCCGCTGGCCCTGCAAAACAAGGAGATCCTCAGCGAAGCGAAGGATTTCCATCCCGGATGTCAAAAGGGCGTTGCGCACCTGCCAAAACGTATTCTCATGACGGCACCTGGTCTCTTCTTCTTGTGGAGGGGATCCGTTTGAACTGGAAAGTGTGCGACACATGACCCGGTTGCGCAGTGACCCTAGTGGAAAAATGTTGACACTGTTTCAGGTTGACCATTTCAAGTGGGGAACGCACCAAACACAATGGGCATCCAGCCAGCCAGCTAGCACGCTCAGAAATCGCCGGGCTTGTAATTGACGAGGATAGTTCGATGCTGTGGTGCCTCTGCCGAGGTGCCATCCCGACCCGGGGACAACTTGTTGCGCACGTCGCCAGCCGTAACCAAACACTTGGGTCCTTCCCTCATCCTAATCTGTATTCAATGAGATGGGCACCACTGGAACAATAAAACAAGGGACGCCTGGCCATTTGCCTGGGACTTTGAGCTCAGCCGGCTCCCGAAGAGGCAGGCCAAAAGCGACTTTGTGAAAACCGGCTGGAACCACCGGGATGGCTCCAGTTCGGGAGCAAAGGCCCCGGCTGATCGTTCTGCCCGGGGGCGCCCTGACCTGCTGCTCGACCTCCGAAGTTCCCCAGCCTCGCGTCAGTCACGCCAGTGTGCAAATGGGGGTTGATCAAAAGGTCCTTTACATGGGATGACCATTGGGGAAAAGTGCTAAATGTATCTCCCACTAAAATGGGAAAAGTTACCCATTCATTTGGGGGCCAACCCCCAAATATTGCTGCGCTTTCACTCCAACGCTTCACCCTCGAGCTTGTGCTCACCCGTCAGGGAAGAAAACCCAATGACTGGTAGCTCTTAGACAAGGCCCCAATTGCCGGGCGTCCAAGAGGGGATGAATGGACTGCTTGCCAACTTCAAGACAGCCACCCAGGAAGCATCGCATGCTCCGGGATCTCCGGGCATCTGCTTGATTGCTATTGGCAACATCCCATGGCCCATGGCACTCGGCAAATGGGGTCGCGGAAACTCAGCGTCTGACGCCAACACCATCGAAGGCGCTGGTGAGGATGGTGGTGCAGGCGCCTTGGGAAAGGACAAGCCGAGTCAAAACCCATGGCTGTACTTGCCAAAATGCGCAAAACAACCAAATGAACACACGGAAGACACAAGTAATGGAATGCAAACTTCAGCATCTGGAAGTCCAAGCAGCCAACTACCATATATGAAGACTGTGGAGCTGTGAGTTCAGCTAATGGGAATTCCGTGCAAACATATAGTTCAGCGGGATGATTCTACGACAAACAAGCAACAACGGAAACTATGTAAACAATGCAGCGGGTAAGAACAAGCTGCTTGGCTTGCAACATCGTCTGCAAGCCACGTTTGGTTTAGTAAAACACTTTCAGGCGCAAATCAACACGCTGCTTGTGCGCATGCTCACTCAATCACAAGCTCGTAGCTAGCCTGCACCGTTTTCTGGACATTTGGGAATGAAGACTGCGTGTACACACGCTGTGGACTTTGCAACAACTTGGTCGCTTTTGTCAGTCATGGTTGGACCATTTTCGGGGAAAACAAAAAACAAAGGCAAGCTCACATTTGTCAGATTCTAAAGAGCTGGATTGGGAGACTTCTTGAAATGCTGCAAGAGTTGAGCCAACCCGCAAGAGCCCAGCGCCATGAGGGCCCGGCAGGTGCCGCAGCCATTGCTGCTTGCGCCTGGAAACCCCGCGCCGCCGTCATCTGGTACCATTATTTGTTGCTGTCGACCCTGCAAAAAGCTTTTTACTTTTTGGGGCTTTAGTGGGAAACCCCTTGATTTCAACCAAGTGAAAGTCTAAAGGTCCAACCCAATAGCAGCCAAGCAGTTACCTTGCTGCTGCGATAGGTTGGGAATGAGAAATGGAATGAACCTGGGGGTCCCCTTCAAGGAAACCACCAGTTGGATGGCGTATAGCGGCACCAGCAAGTTACCCGAGCAAGAAAAATCAAGAAAACACAAATCGGACATGTCCCCGAAGAAATTGATCTTCCGCCCCCCTCTGCTTCTGAAGCGAGCCCGCACGAAGCATCTAGCATCTTGACAATTGAGTTATTGCTGGCACTGCCTTGGAAAAGAGGCTTCGTGGGACTTGCTGGACTGCTTTGGCTTGCTTTGAACGCAGGCTTAGTCGCTGTGTTGTGAGAATTGTGGTGAATCCGAAGAACCAAGCGATAAATGTGTGATATGTCCATGCTGGTCGAGGTCGCACTCTTTCAAGCATATGCAAGCAGAAAGGAATCAACCAACTCGGAAAATAGAGGGCTTCAAGCTCAAGTTTCGAGCTGTAAAACGAGCCCCAACTCCGCCAATGCTTCGCAATAGCGGATGATCGGAGCAAACTATGGCATGCCTATTCACATCAATGATGGAACTGCAATGCAATCAGGGCCGGCTGCGCGGTGGCCGTACGCTAAGCTCGCGCAATTGACCGGTGAACTTTCAAGCTGCGAAGGGCCAAACAGCCGACCATGCGATTGGCCGTGGCCGGCTGCAGGCACACAAGGGCATCTATCTATCTATCTCTCTCTCTCTCTCCCTTTCTCCCTCAAGCTATCCTGCAGGTCTAAACAACCAAGGGCATCAACTTGATACTAAGATGATGGACCGAGGTTCGACCAGCAAAAACCCAAGCTTGAGACGCAATCCCGTGTTGCCCTCTGTGAGGGGCGGCAACACACATGTGCAGTGCCAGCGACACCATCAGGACAAAGCCGGCAACTCAAACTCGTCCTGAGACGAACGCCCTCGATATTGCTTCCTGCATCTTGATGTCTATGCCAAAAGCAAAGCAGACTCACATGCACTTGCTGGTTTCCGACCTGCCACTGAAGGCCAATATAGCTTGGATCCTCTCTTTCCCTGGGCTTTTTGGGAGTCCAAGGCATCGACTTCTACACAGCATCAACTGGCATCAACCTTAGCCAAGTCTTTGCCCCCGGTGACTGCCAGAAACAGGGATGCACCCTTTTTGTGGTCTTTGCAAAAAAGGGATGGGCCCTTGTGATTGACCCCTTTTTCGGGGCAACCTAACCCCCTTAGGTAAAAAGAAAAACACAACACCCGCACCCCCAGAAAAAAAAGAAAGGGACGAAAACCCCGGTGGCTTCACCAGCCACGGGCCCGTCGACCGGGTACCCCGGGTATGAACTCCGCTCCTCGAAGGTGGGCACTTGCTGGGCCCGCGCCACTTGGCGACTGTGGCTCCAGGGCCGGAAGGCGGTGTTGCGGGGCAGGGAGCTGTCGATGAAGCCCGCCAGCACCTCCGCGCGCTCCATCTGTTTACCCAGTTGAACCCGTTTTTCCCTCCAAACGGGTTGGTATGTATTCCCATCAGTTACCCAGTTTTACCCTCTAAATGGGTCTGTTAGCCTGTTGGACTTCCCATGGGCCGCGTCCTATGCACCACATCATCCAGGTTTACCCTCACGGGTCTGTTGGTGCATGTTCTCTACAACAAATCTGTGAATCCTATCACCCTCGCTGAAAAGACTCCTCACAAGGGTGGAAATTGGTTGGCTTCCATTGGATTGTTCGTTCATCTGGTTCGAGGCTTGGGGAAATCTGATGTAGAAAGGCCGACAACGGAGCTTTGCGGGCCGAGACACGGAAAGCAGCAAAAGGACCCGCACTGTTGAGCTTGTCACCCACGATAGCTTGTAAAAAGCTATGAATCAGGCTCACTGAACATTATGTGACATTGTGTTTTACAAGCCAGAAAGTGGTCCAAGCCGAAACTATGGTCCGTTGAGGCTGTAGGGCGCCCATGTCTGCACGGACCTATTGAAGCGCACCCACTGTATGGCTAAACACCTGAAGGACAGGCCTCGGGCGACTGGCTTAAGTCAACAATCCAGCTTGACTGCACTCGGCCTCTGGCCAGGAATTCAAGGGACAACGATAGGGCATGTGTTCTTGTTGCAAAGAACTTGGCTCTTCGCGATTTCATTTGCTTGGGTGACCTACATGGGGTCTAACCAGTTGATACTAGGACAAACACGATTGTCTCTTGGTGCAAGTTGGAACCCGTTTATTGAAACTTTTACTCAGTTACCACAAGGAAACAGAAATAAAAGGTGAGCCTTTTGGGGTCATGACGAAGCATAGGCCAATCTGGGAAGACAAAAGGGGCAAAAGGTCCGCTTTGAACAACTGAGTTTCGGTTTCCCGGATTCAAAGAAACCGCAGGTCAGCACGCCTTCCGCACTCCGTCCAGGTCCGCCACCATTCGCTTCAGCTTGTGCCAGCGATGCAGCTTGGCGCTACGCGCCTCCTCGCAACTCTGCAGGCACTTCACGAAGTAGTCCCTGCCGAAATCCCACGTCATCGGAACAAAACGGGCCCTGTATTGAACAAACACAAGTGCGAGGCGTGCGTCAATTAAATCGGGCAAGGGAAAGCCGCCATAATGAACCCCTTGTTTGGTCCAAGGGGCCAGCCTCTGCCAGGCCGCAAACCCTACTCACCCCCACTGGACCCCTTCTTTGGTCCAAAAAAAGGCCGCGAGCCGCCCGGCCTGTCGCGGATGGAAAGCAAGGGCTGCGCTTGCACCAGGTGGGCGCCGAAGAGCTGCGCGCTGCTGAAGCGCCGGGGCCAGAGGTGCGCGTCCACGGGATCCTGAGACCCCGGCGAAGCGACGTGCCAGCGGCGAATCTGGGCGAATCCGCGTAGAACCCCGAGATCGGAGTGGGAGATCTGCCCAAAGCTTTGGGCGGGCCACAAAGGAACACCAACATCTCGGTGTGGGTCAAACTTGAACCACCAGGGGACCGCAGGTTGTAGTCCCAAGTTTCCATTTACCAGGGTTCCATTGTGGGTACATATTGTTGACTCACAGCCATCTGGCTAGAGGAGTGTTGGGAGAAGAAACTTTGCAGCTTTCGGAGGCGGAAGCTCCGTGGAAAAAGGCGCAACAGTCTCTAACATCCAACTGCAGCAGGCGGTGTGACACCGGCGTCGGATCACTTTTCACCAACAATTGTTACACTTCTTTACTTGTCCGTCATCCCTGCGCAGGGGCCATGCGAGTCCATCCAGTTAAAAACGACATGCCCATCCAAAGTGCCAACTGTGCGTCCCATGAAGAAACCCTCAATCATCGTGCACGCTCAGTCGGGCATGACTCATCATGACTGTCTGAGGTCTGGCAAAGGATGGCCACCCATGAACTCTGCCAGACAATGTTGACCCCATATTAATCAACCCCAGTCCTTTTTTTCTTTCCAGGAGTGTTCCCCTCAAAAAGTGATGACTCCGCGCCAAGCCCAGCGACACCCCATGAATAAACTGGGGTTGATTAACGCCAAAGTATGCCACATCCCAAGGCTCCACAATCTTCGCATCCAGCGGACTGATGTGGTCGTCAAAAAAAATGCAGTGCTCGGCCGCATCCAGTCTCCTCAAACATGCGGACGGAAGCCAGTTTCGTGAAGCACTGTGCCGACACGAGAGTAGTGAGCTCAAGAAGCAATTTCTGCTGCCGCAAGTTTTCTCCACCCGCTCCTTAGGAAGAAGGGCTTGCCTCCACGAGAGGTACTGCCCGTCGCTGCCCAGCCTTAGCTGCCAGAGCCATTGACTGGGGTTGTGCAAGCGAGCACTCCACAGCAAACTAGGGGAGGCAATGCCTTTGTCACTTGCGCGTCAAAAGCTTGGACGTCTGAGTTGACAACCCAAAGCATTACACCAGTCATTTGGAGGCATCGCATTGCAGCCCAAAGCTCAGGCCAAGGGACCTGGGTAGTAATCCCTGAGAGCAAAGGTGCGCTGCTGGGTCGACAGTTTGTTGTACTGCTTGAAGACTTGGTTCACCCCTGCGCTCGTCCGTTGCAAGACCATCTGCACCCGTCCCTACACACCCCGAAGAAGAAAAAAGCTAACGAACAGGGCAAGTGGGTCAACTCTGCCAACGTTTCGATTGGTGAATGCTTTGTTGGGGTTTCTTACCAAATGCAACCGGTCTGCCCTTGAGTGTAACGATGCCAACAAGTGCGTTCACAAGCAGGCGGGTGGACCTGTGCCACTTTCCATGACCTCTCGACAGACCCTCCCATCCTCAATCGCTGCCGCCCCATGGTAAGGAGGAAATTCGCGGGTTGCGATTGAGGTGAGTCTTCTCCCTGCACTTTCCCTCAAGGGGGGGCTGACCCGAAAATCGCCTTTCGAGCCCCCGCACCCTTGCCTTCATGGATGGCTACGCCAGCTCGATCTCGGCAATACGCCAAACCCTCCTCCATAGTCTTGGGTTGATCGATCGTGCCCATGACCAGTGCCTCTCAAGCCACCGATTCTCTCAGCTTGCTAGAGACCTCCATCGAAGGTCCCCAAAAACATCCAGTCTGATGACCACCCGTGCCATCCAAGCAAAGAGCTTCGGCATGTATTGACACAAACGGAATCAAGCTTGGCCGCCCTTTGCCACAAAAAAGAGAGGCTCAAAATAGATTGGCCCTTGACGCGGGGAAACAAAAGGGGACGACTAAATTCGCAGGGCCCGAGGAATCAGAACCTGGCATACCAGCCTGAGTCTACCAATACGGCCGCACCTTCCAGTTGAGACCCCCGGCCTCCAAATCTGCATGTGGGCGAGTAAATGCATACATTACGGTCCTGTGATGGCTCAGAAAGTCTCGGAGGAAAACCCCATGCTGCTAGGGACACAAAAGTAAAGAAGGATTCCCACTAAAAGTAGCTAAAAGTGGACACGCCCAATTAAGTCAACCAGTGGACACCCCCAATGAACTCAGCCAGGGATGTGTTTACCCTTGGGTCAATATTCCCGCGTTTTGTTGCCAGGTTGCAATGAAGTCCTCCTCGCCAGGGTTCCGGAAAAAGGTGCCGCAGCCCTCCGAGTCCATCTTCATGCGGTAGTCCGGCTGCCCATCCTTGGATAGGTTCCAACTGGGGGCATTCTCACGCAGTTTTTGGGAGGCTTTTGTGGGATGCCACCAAGTACTTTGGAGCCACATGCCAAAAGCGGCACTCTGCCAAAAGGTTTGCATGCTGTCATCAAGCACGTGCACTGACATTGGACACGTGGGCGTGTCGCTATTGCGACCTACCCCCCCTTGAGGTCTGCAATGGGAAATCGAAAGGGAAACTAGGCAGGTTCCCGCATTTAAAAACTAGATAAAACCCACAACTCGATGTGTTCAAGGCACCACTCGCCTCCGAAGGCCCGCCCCAGCGCTTCAAGCCTACTGACGTTCGAACCCAGCCGAAAATGTCCCAAAGTTACACCATGGCTCCTCGTTGGAGAATCATCTGCTGGCCCTACTTGGTTTGATCCAAGGTTTCACCACAAACCAGAAACAGGGGGGCCCGCCTATGGATTCGGCCAAATCTAAAAAACAACGCTGGGCGTCAGAGCCGTCCAGGACCACCTCCGGCTCATGGCTGAACAAGGGGTGCCAGCCCTCGCACAAGGCTTGCAGCTCCTGACAGGTCGGGACCCGTCTGGGAAGCCAAGCGGGCAAGACCTGAATGTTCAAGCTGCCTAGTAAGTAGGCTACAAGTATGGTTGCGCGGCAGCCACCCCCTTCCACTCATAACCATTGTTACATCCTACTAACCGCACCTCCAAATGCTTGGTGCGGCCTTGAGCTGCGGCGACATATCCAACCCCAACGGCACAGGAACATCCAAAGCTGCGCGTTTGTGCATCTTGCTTTTGTTTGAGTGGATATCACAGGGGATGACTGGACCAACGAGGGCTTGTGCCATCCAAATCACCGCCAGCCTTCTGCAACTTCGGCAGGTCATTCCCAAAGGTCCGGAAGATCAGAGTGAAGCTTCGGCCCTGCCGCTTCAGCTCTCCTAAGGCTGCATGAGCTCTTCTCGTGAACCCTGCGTTCACCAAACTGAACAAGCTCTCGTTGACTTTGTCTAGAAACGTGAGATAAACACCTCTATTTCTTTCCGGCCCAAGGAAGGTGGGGTCCCGACACCGTGTTGAACACCTCCGTTTGGGGGGGGGGGGGCTATGTGTATTTGTGTGTATGCGTGTATGTCGGAATATGCCTATGTAGGTAGGAGGTATGTATGCATTCATATGCATGTATGCATGTATATGCGCATGCGTACATGTCAATATATGCATGTGTGTTTTTCTGTTTCTTCTAAACGTATCTAAGGAACCTCTATGGGCTCCTCATGCAAAATGTACCGACTTGTGACCTGGCAATTGTCTAATAAACCAAACGTAGTCGAATGGTCCAATCTTGAAATGCCTAAAGGTCGAGCTGTCTCGCACAGGTCCACACTTGTCCTCCGCACAGTATGTAGTACATAGTTGCGTGCAAACAAGAGTCTACAGAGACATGTGCTTGTACAGGGGCATACTTATATCAACGTCTAAACCCACCTGCACGCGATGTGGAGCTTTTTGCCTCCAAGGCGCGCAGCAAATGAAGGAAGGAGGGCAGCAGCTGCACGGTGTCCCCAAGCCCCGCGAGCTTCGCCAGCTGTGAGCTCCGCAGGTTGGGGGGCAGCTGCAGCTGCTGCTCCATGAGCTCCACGTCACGCTGGAAGGCCTCCGCTTAAATTCGAGCAGATGCCGGGCGAAAACCCTTGAAGCGCGGTCTTGGACGGCTTCAACTAGCCCAAAAATCACTGCCCATATCTTGCGGCTGGTTTCAGTATTGATACAAAGGCCCCAGCAGTCACTGCTGGGCTACAATGGTTTCCCTAACTATGGCTCTGAGGCAGTAGATGATAAACTCGCATAGGGATAATCTACTCAAGAAAGAAAAAAAAACGCTGGGTAGATGGCGGTTGTCTGCAATCCGCCGTTCCCGGAAGCGCCCTCTACCATGAGTCCCGCCTACTTAGAAGTGCTGTTATGGAACTTAAGATGAACTTACAAACAACTTATGAAGTCATAACTGCACTTACAAGAAGGCCGTAAGTAGCGTAAGTCCCCTTTTCTTTGATGCTGCGCAGGTTCGCACGCTTCATCTCGTCTGCAGGACTTTTCTTGACTCAGAGAGGTTGGCGGGTGCTCAGAGGATGCGTCTTGTCGTGGCCCAGAGGCATCGGGACTGTAGTGTGCGCAAAGCCGGGCTCGAAAAGGCAACGGAAACTGACCTGAAAAAGCTGGGGGCCAACGGCACAAGACAGACGCGCATGCAAGCTCATTTTTGCAAGTGCGGAGCAATATCCGCTGACATTCACTTTGCATTCCGCCAGCCACAAGAAGACACCCACCGACGTTCACCGACATTGTTCAACATCTATGTTTTCCTCGGACTAAGGTTCCACCGACATCCACCTACATTTGTTGCCCGGCCCCCTTGAAATCCCACGTGTTTTTACCCCACCAACATTTTTCCGCCAAGTGCGCCCCGCCAAAGCCCCACCGACATCCACCGACATTTCGCCGACATCCTATTGTTCCCCGCGCAAAAAAATTGAAGGGGTCCATTTAGTTTGAAAACAAGGGTTCCCCACTGCTCGCTATAGGATTAGCATGCCCTGCGCGGACCCTTGCAAACAAACAAAACATTGCAAGTAGTGTAAATAGTTTCTAAGTCTGCTAAGTATGTCCCACGAAAAACTTATGTTACTTCTTTATCCGCCCTAAGTATGCTAACTTTTCCAGAACTTATGACACCTATCTGTTTTATAACCCCTGTTGGTCTTACAACTACTGTTGCGGAACTTACAAGTCCTACTATTAGTAGGTGGGACTGATGGTATAACTTTCGCCGCCTCCATCGCGGATCTTGCGCGGGGCTATTTTCACACATGTTCACAACATTCATCACATGCTCAGGTACGCCAAGTACCATTCTGCGTTCCGGCTGGCAAATCCCAACTTTTCGGAGCAGCAAAGACCAGCCTGCTAGGATTCAACAACATCACCTCCCCCCCCCCCCGGTGATTTATGGATTTCTGGCCCAAGTAGCCAGCCCACACCGAACTTAACTCCATTGGCGGGAGCTAAGAAGGGTAGGACGCTTTGACCAACCACCGCGTGAACGGCACATGGTAGATGCGAGGCTTGCAGCTCGTAAGATGTTGGCCCGCTGCCGAAAATGAAGCATGATCCTGTAGTTCAAGTCTATGAAGCATGGCTGCATGTCGCATCCTAAGCCTCTCCCCTCCACGAGACTGGGACCAGGAAGAACAAGAATGCCGGCACCAACACAGGTCGAAAAAGACACCGGCTTGTGACCACACATCACAAAAAATGCTTCTCGGGCAAAAGGACCTCCTCGTAATCCCAACTTTGGCATTTGTAAAGAGGCTATGTAGAACCATGAAGCAAGCGATTCAGTGCCTTCTTCCAAATGCAAGCTTTACGGCTAAAGCGGAACACTCTCGATTTTTGCTGGCAACGCCACAACAAGAAATAGGCAAGTCGGGGAATGCCAAGTCAAGGATCCAACGGTGTCTCGCACAGGACACGCAAACACGCGATTCGCGGCTTTCCGATCTAAAACACATCAAACCCTTGAAAGGGGTTCCCCGTCCCGGCCTCCCCGGGCATGCCAGCGTCTGTGAAGGCCCAAAGGGCTTGCCTGAGTCAAAGCGCGAACCGTCCGTTCCTTGCGCAAACAGTCTGCTGCGATCTGCTGTGGGAAATGACCACTTCTGTGATACAACAAAAGGGCCTCGCAAGGACTAACCGCGCATAGAAAGAAAGAATTGCTCGCCTCTACAAAGTAAAGCGCGGCTTTTTGAGCTCTGCGGGCGGAGGGGGGGATGGGTGTCTGCCCTCTCAGATTAGTGGGGTCCAGCCTGTTTGCGCTACAGGAGCCAACCAAAAGCCTCTGGTCTGACACGCAACCATTTCGTTGTCAAAGCAACCGCCGAAACGTGTATCTCCCTCATGTTGTCCAGGTAGCACCTCAAATTGGGAAGCCATTCGCCTTAAGGGGCACGCCCGAGATGCACAGGGATCCCCACACCCTGTTACCAGGCGACACCGCAGCAAGTCAAACTGCTGACAGTTGAGAAACAATGACTGCTCCACATTCCGGCGAAGTCTTCCCCAGTAGACTGCCTTCCCAGGCCTCCTAAAGTTTCGAGGCTTGGATCTGGAGAAGCAAGCTGCACCTGCAACCTGCCAAACTCTCTCATTTCCGGGATGAAACACATGCCAAATGCAACACTGCATATTTTCACGGGCTTAGCATACCAACCACAATGAGGCTTTACCTCTGAAATTGAATCAGGTTTGTGATTATCAACCAAGCTCTTGGCCCTCGTTTTCAGCCCCCACCTTTCTCCAACCAACCCCGAGCCTGCCTCCTTGGCTCCCCAACCCGCAAACACCTCGCCTCCGCGCAGCCTTCACCTCCTCCGCAGCCGCACGCCAGGCCGCCTTGTCCGCGCTCTTCGCGGGGAAGGGGTGCTGCAGCACGACAAACTCCTCGGACCGTCTCCCAAAGCGCCCACCAGCGGCGACCAGCGGGCCCCAAACAAGACGCATTTGTCACTTGTGGGGTGGAAAACAGATGTGCTCACCCTTTTGGGCGTGTTGCAATCGGAAGCTTGCACGAAAGACACAAACTCTGACAAACGTCAGAGTTTGAGCTAAGAAACAAAGCAGAAGCTCGGACCCAGACCCAAAACAGCCGCAAACAGGCCTGCCAAAAAAGTCGGGCCTTGGGGCGGAAACAAGGTGGGGACCCACCTTTTCCACCGCCCCCTCACCCACGACCTTGATCGCAAGGAACGTAGGGCGTCCTGAAAAGCCTGGGGAGCCAAGGCGCCGAGTAGGTGTGGAGCCCCGTCTCTGGCTGCTCCGGGCTCAACTCCGAGCAGCGGCACTCCCAGCTCAGCGCCACGCCGGCCGAGTCGTAGTGGATCTGCCCCCAGGCCGAGTTGGACAGCACCTGGCAACCAGATTGGTTGGCTTCCCTGCGGTGTCAAAGGAGCCAAAGCTACAGGCACACAACCAGATTGGTTGGCTTCCCTGCTAAAGGCACAAGTATCATTTCATCCAAGTCCCGTTCAAGCCACTACAATTGTTCCATTTGAGGGGTTGAGGGGTTGGTGGCCAGGTGAACACAAACCAGTCCTATACTGTGGTTCCGGTCTTGAACTGCCGAATTGAACCAGGCTCTCAATGTGCCATCTTTTTTGATATGTGACCTGCTTTGGTCTTCGAAGTGTTCGAAGGCTTTGGAGAGTTGGGGAAGGCCTTCCCAGTTTTGCAGTTTTGCTGGCTGTGTGCAACTGGCTGTACCCCTGGCTTCTTGGTCAGTTGTGTTCCCTTTAAAGGGCACCGCAGAATTGGAAGTCTCCGGCCTTCACAGGAAGTTCGCTGGTCATTTTCAGCGGGACCATCATTGAAGCAGAACTGGGGAGATGATGATATTTGATTGGACCTTCATTGTGCAGGCTAGGCGTATGGGGTGGGGACACTGCACAAGAGCGCGCTGAGCATGTGCTTCTGCCCGCTACGAAAAGATCACTCCTTGCGGCTCCTCAAACGGAACCTGGCTTCTCACAAAAGGAGAAAACAAGCCTCAATCCAAATTTAGTGTGCCTTACCTTGAACCGATCCCGTCTGGGGTGACTGGGTGCACAAGTTTCAGGATTGAGCCACAAGCATGGGTGGCAGCTGCCAAGTGCCGATCAGGTTTGCCCTGTTTGATGGTAGCAAAATCCTGGATTTTCTGCAGGCCCCGGGCCCCTACTACAAATGAACAGCCCCCCAAAAGCAAGACACTCAAAAACATGTCAACAACACTGAAGAGCCATTCCCATGCTGCCCAGCTCACTCCCAGACTCCCAGCCCATTCCCGCCATACAAATGAGGCCCTTGGAGTCGGCGCCCGTGGCAGAATCCAACATGACCACTGTGTTGTTCACCTGAGCTTTGGACCATTGCAGTACAAAAGCAACGCGCATTTCAAGTTTGTCATTTGGTTTGCACCAGTCAAAGGGCATGCAGGTAGCTAGCAACAGGCTCCAATGCTGACAATAAGCCCCATAGTTCCAAAAGGGATTCACTCCACGTCTCTGAACGGCATTCTTTCACCTTCTGTGGCAGGCCAGAAACTGAGCAAGTCGGGAGGCACCAGCAATGACGCTTAGCGCGGAAACACCCAAGGAACTTAAGAGCCGGCAAACTCACAAACCCTGGGGCCCTTTTCCGGGCATTGGCTTTCGCCCTTGCTGAAAACGCCCCCTGGTGCTCGAAGCTTTTTAACCAAGGACCACATCGCTTCCAAGAATGTACCCACACCCATAGTGCACAGTGGGCAACTCTGACCCTCTGAGGATCCAAGAAGTACATGTCAGTTTTCCACCGCTGCAACTGTTCGGCTCCCAAATCTGCAAGAGGGATCCCGCAGTTGTTTCCAGCTGGGTGTCGAACAGGGAGCCCGGAAAAACAAAAGGCCAAAAACAACCAGATCTATCCCCTTTGTGAGTCCTTTGGAAATTCACGCCGGGGTGATAGTAGATGGTGCAGTTCCATGTATGGCTAAACCAACCTTTGGGGAGTTATAGGCTATTCAGCACCCCCACCCTGTTTTCCCGGTCCAAGTGGCATCAAAGTTCAGCACCAGGTGCGGCAGCTGATTCTTCACCTCCGGCGCGCGGGCGGCGCGCAAAATCTCCAAGAAGGTGTGGTAGTCAATGCCTTGGCCGCTTCTCCCCCGCGAAGCAACCATGCGGCGAGCGTGGCTCTCCCAGCATCGCTCTCGCTCCGTTCCCCCCCGTTGCAAGAAACAAAAAACAACTATCCCAGGTTGGTGTCCCAGGTTGGAAATCCCACAATCCCCAGCAAGTTGCTGATGGAAAGCGATGGACGTATTTTGGTTCAGCTGGAAGGTCCAACGAGCCGAGATGCCGCCAGAGTCGTTGTCTGGGTCGAGGTCACGGATAATCAAGCCCGCCTCCGCAGGAGTCACCTTGGAACGAGAGAACCGTATGGATGTTGCTTAAATAGGACCCCTGAAAATGGTGGGAAGCAACTTCCAATCTCTCCAAGCCCAAAACACAAACAAAGGGGATGGGTGATGCATCATATTTCCAGACCCCCTATTCAGCACCCAAATGACGGCTTCTATTTGTTGGCCTGACCAGACCATCCAACAGGCGTCCCAAATTTTGGGATCGCAGGCTCATGTCTGCGTTCATGTGTGTTTGTCTCAAGATTCTAGGGGTTGATTCCCCATTCTTTTCAACCATCGTTCTTTTCAAAAAAACAGACTCTTTCCCCAGGTTTCCGGAGGTTTTCTAGAAAGAAGGATCGATGGAAAGAATGGGGAAGGTACCCTGGAAAGATCGGTTTTTTCTGCCAAGGTTCTGCCAATGAGTGATTGGCATTCGTTTTGGACTCGTACTCGCTGAGCAGCATGAGCGCATTCATCATCTCATCTGCATCTATGGTGCCGTTGGCATCGCGGTCGAGGAAGGTGAACAACGACCTGCCACCGGGTTGGGCAAGCCCCCTCGTGTTGAACAGGAGTCCCTCAAAATGGTGGACCCCCTGTTGGCTGGCGCTTAAAGACACACCAAAAGCCATTCAAGGGGGCCATAAATTTGAGAACCGGAAACACGCTGTTTGACCGTTGGTCCTTTTGGAATCCCGTCAAAGGGGACCAGGGTTCTCTCTCTCTCTCTCTCTCTCTCTCTCTCTCTCTCTCTCTGCTGCACCATCGGGAAGCCGTCCACCAGAGGGGTGCTAAGCGCCCATTGGTTTTGCAGGGCTGGTTGAAACAATTGCACCCTGCCTTGCCGCCTCCTCGCTCTCGTCATGCAGCCGGTCCCAGCGGGTGAGCCACGTGTAGAACTCCTCCCAGCAGATTTGCTCGTCCCCGTTGTGGTCGATCTGTTCAAAGATGTGGGCCTCGGGGTGACAGGGTTGCTCTGACGGCCTTGGAAAGGCGGAAACTTGAAACCTGGTAATGTTGATCCCATATTAATCAACCCGGCTGATCAATAGGGGGGTGCTCCCCTCCAAAAGTCATGATTCTCCACTAAACCCAGGGGCACCCCCCTATTAGTCAACTGGGGTTGATTAATATGGGGTCAACATTGGGGAAACCGAAAAACGCAAACCCCAATGCTTGCCCTTGTGGTGACCGGTCTTCTTTTGGAGGCTCGGAGAACCCCTGCGCCATATTCTCAAAAGCCGCGCTGCCTGCCCTGTGGCCACACTAGGATTGCGGGATACCTGTGAGGGAAATGGAAAATGCCGTCTGAAATTGCCGCGGGGTCGGTCAAAATTGTTGCAACCCAATTGAACAAGAGACCTGTGGGTTGAAGAGTGAGAGAGATCCAGTCAAAAGGGTTTGCAGGAGGCTAACTGGGGTCTTGATTGGGGGTTTGCTTGCCGCTGACACTCGGGACTCGTCACCTTCAGCAGTATTACCGTGCCGGCTGCCAAAGCAACCAACAGCCTTCAGAAATGCCGCAGCCGAAAGACACCATTTTGGGTGCGTCCTACAGTTCAGGAACCCACGCGAATCCCTTTTCAGAGTTTATAGCGGGTTTACCAGTTTTTCTTCCAAACTCAGTTGAAGGAACGCGTCATGTTGTAGCATGTTTTTAGTGGCATTGGCAAGCTCTCTATCTGGCTCAAGCTGCTCAATCTGCCCAAACAACCACCTGGAGTTGAATGAAGCAAGCACACATCTCTCCGACAGTACCGCAACTGCCCTCTTGCCGAGCAGGGAACGACCACATCCGAGGTTTCCGTGTTCTGGCCCGGCAGGCTCACCTCAAAGCTCTCCAGCACCTCCAGGCACCCCCCTCTCTGATTTGATGCGCGCCAAATATAACAGGCGCACTCACCTGCAGCAAACTCACTGGGATTGGCTTGCGGAATCTTCAAAGGTTGCAACTCAGTGGGTGCAAGTGAAGCTGCCACTTTCAAGCCCCAACAAAAAGCAACCCTTCTGTTCAGCCCAGGCTGCCTTGATTGCGCCTCTCTAAAAACCCCTTGCCTCATGTAGCTGCTTCTTGGTGAGCCCTTGCCGCGGGGAGTGGCAAATCCTTTCGAAGGTGCGACGGAAGTAGCTGATGATAAACGGCTCCTCCACCTGAAAAGGGCACCATGTGAATTTCGCTCAGCCATCATCTCCGCATTCAAACTGTCCATGAGCATTACCACACCATGGCAAGCCTCTGGTTTTCTGGCCTCACAGCTTTGCTGGCAATCCGCAGTTCCGTTTGGGACTTCGAATTTCCCCCCACTCCATCACATTTTCCTTTGTCCGTTAAGGCTGATGACACCTGCCCTTTTTGTGGCCCGCCACTGCGCAAAAGGCGAGCCCAAGCGAACCGTGCACCCTGCCTGCCGCGACCTAGGAGCAGCTCTGTCGGTAAGGCCCAGGATTAAATGGGTGGAATTAAAAATCCCTCTCATCGACATCAGGGTCTGACTGCCGAAGGAGGGAGCAAACACCCACCATACGGAGGGGTTCGCCATTTCGAGATACAAATGCCGTGCTGGCATGCCCGTTGACAAAAAATACGCCCTGTTTTCAGTGGCCAGCAAGCAAACATGCGGATTCACCTGTGACAATGTCCAAGAAAAGCAGCAGGTGATCAGTTCGAAAAAACATGATCTACGAACAGCAGGGCTTTGCCGTCAAATTTCTAGGATTGATATTTATGATGGCCTGTTTTTGGACCTGCCGAAGCATGGTTGGCATGTCCACCCCACGCTGGCATGACCCTCTTGTTCCAATCGCCCCGACAAGGGCAAATGTGAGTGGGTTTCTTTCAGGTTACAATTTTCACCCTCGTTCAAAGGGAACCGGGAAACCCAACGGAAAACTACAATTTCTTGGGCCCCCCACTTAGATACACACACACACACACCCAGCAACTGCAACACGACCGCCAAAGCCGCCATCTCTCCAAGGCGCAGCTTCCGCACGCGCGGCCGAAGCGCCACCGGCTCCCCCTGTTGTTCGACCTTCGGCAGACCGCGACTAGTCGCGATTTCCAGATTCCATGGCACCCCAGCAGGACGTGTCGACCCAAAAGCAAAAGGAGCGGTCAACCTAGAGTACTGGGCAGAAAGGGAAGAATACCCCACAAAGAGACCATTTCCAAATTCATCCCACTTGCAAGGGCCCATGAGTGGACCGTACCCCCAGGTGAGCCTGCCAGAATATCTCCGTGCATCAATGGGCCAATGCACCATGGGTTTTGAGCACCCAGGGTGAAAGCCGAACAACGAAGGGCGCTTCTTTGCATCTTAGGGTGAGGCAAGGAATCCCTGAGCCAGCAAAGGAGCACTCTCCCAACTACTCATGAGATCTCATGAGTATGAGTCAAATTCGGTTCCCCTTCCAAAAACTGTCCTTTCGGAAAAAACATCCCTATGCCTGTAAACTGATTTGAACCAAACCGACGCCAGTGCCAAACCATTTTTGCCGACTGTCCGTCGAACTCCAACCAAACTGACCCAAAAAGGACACCTGAGAAGGCTCTTCCCAACTGCCCCACCTTCTGGAAGACAAACTTGAAGAAGTCCCGATAGCAAACCTCTTCCTCGTTGGTCTCTGCCCGGGACAGCAGCCGGTCCGCCTCAGCCTACGGGAGGCTTCCTCCAACCCCTGTGTTTGGGGCTGACCACTTTTAGGGGCGATCCATAAGGGAAACACAGCTGCCACTGGGTAACCCGCTGTGCCAATTGTGGCGGTGGGTTCCCACTCTGGGCAAGGAAAGTGCATGTTTTCAGCTCGAGTGGCGAGCACGCAAAGCCCTCCAAATGATTGCTTTCCTCTTGGTTCCAGATATGCGAGCCCTGCATTGGGCACGGGAAACTCCCCAGGTGTTTGTTCTTTTTTCTGGAAAACTGGTGAACACCCGAATCAAGTCAAAAACCCTCCATAGATACCGCAGATTGCGGCAAATCTTCACGGATCTTGACCTACCATCATCCATGCTGCATGGGGAAAAGGGGCACCTCCTCGGTTTTCATGGGGAGAACCAACAAGCGACATGGGGCCTAGGGAGCACGCAGGCAGGTGCGGTATTTCGACCAAAACCTCAGAAGGCACACTTTCTTGTTCATCTATGGGGAGTGAATGGCGGCTCACTAAGCATACAGGCGATCAATGTGCCATGCTTCCATTTTTTTTTTTTACAAGGCTCCGCCTACACCGCTTCACCTAGCCAAAATGAAACCACCAGCATATGGACCGCAGGTTTTAGTCCACGTTTCATCACGTTTCCATTTACAAGGGTTCCATTTTGGGTACCCATTTTTGACCCACAGCCACCTTTCATTAAAGTTTAACCACCATGCCGAACCGTTTCTCGGTGCCGTGGGCGCCCAGAGATTGGAGGCCTCCCCAACGCCGATGACCAGCAAAACCTGCCGGAGAACGTCTTTGCCTCGGGAGAGATGCGAAAAACCGCGGGGGGAAGAGGGCAACATGGACATGGGCAACTTGGCATACTGTTTGAGGATCAGTAACCACCACTAAAACAATGGGTGAATCGTGTACATAAGGATTTGCATCCAAATTGGTCGGGGGTTGAGCCCCGGGGCGTGGGAGACAGTTTGGACAAATAGATGGGTGTTGCTGGTAAACGACATCAAACCAATCCAAACCAGTGCCATCTACTTCACAAACTAAAAAGGACGTTTCTGGACAAGGGGCCTCTTTGAAGACCGTCAAAGCCCTCCAATTAACCCTGTTGCCCTGTGCTTGGCCCATGGAACAAAGCACTCGAGTGATTTCCACAAAGAAGTTCAAATCGAGCAAACATCAATCCCCAAAGATGTGCCAAGACTAAAAACACGTGGAAGCAGGCCATAGCGCCTTCCAGCACACCAGAGCCAACATGCTGCGATTCCCGACGGCCACCAGGCCCAGTCCTTCTGATCACCCAACCGCACCACATGCTTCAAGCAAATTGCTTGGCGCCTGGCTGGTTTCGTTCCCTGACGACTGGTTTTGAAGCTTTCGGGGCGCAACACTCTGGGGCTCACAATGGTTTTATGGTTCTGTTCAACACTCGGCCAACCTTCACATATTACTGTGTTCTGAGGAGACCTCAGTTTTGATGCTCGCCCAAGGCGCTGATTTTGGACTCGCCATGGAAATATCGATCGAAGACCTGCAGCACCGGCTTCACTTTGTCCTCCGGCAGTGCCAACTCCTGGTCCTCTGCAATGGGTCGCATGGCTTTGAGGCAGCAAACAGCTCCTAGCGTCTCAGCATCTTACCATCTTGTGCCTCTGTCGGTGTGGTGTTCTGCTGCTAGTCGCTTCTATCTGCTGACCATCCACAATTCTGGCAGAGTCCTCACAGCTCAGCGGAGGCCGTGCGAAGCACGATGGCACGCGCGCCCGGCCCAACATGACTCAAGAAAGAAACGTTCCGCCCTCCCGTCACTCCGCGGCTGCTGGGAGATTCCCTTTCAAATGCCATGACTGACTGCCCAAGAAAAAACATGGCTCTTCAATGGCACCTTGATGTGTTCCAATTCAGTAGATGGACGGCCGTGTCTGCCAAAGCTTGCACGTGGACCACATCGCACCTTGCAAAAATCCTCGAACTCCGCCCTTTCCCGGGCAAGATCCTCAGCTCCAGCTTGGATTTCAGTGCTGTTTGGGTGTTTCTGCAAGAAATTCGGAGCCCCCATTCAAACACCAAGAGAAAATTCCCGCTCACCTCCTGTTGTCGCAACGAGTCGTAACTGTCTTCCATTGAATTTGATAACTCCACATGCCAATCCGCGATGCTTGGATGCGGACGGCAGCGGACTTCACAGGCGCAGTCCTTGGGACAGGAACGGGGGGGGGGCTGTGCAAAGAGCATGTTTTCAAGATTCGGACCCCTTTGAGCACAAGCCACGTGAAATGTGAAGTCTCTGGTTTTGAAATGCCCGCTCCAAAAACTAAGCGCCGCATTCCTTGCCAACCCCACTTGTTCATCCTTTTTCTGGGTAGGAAAGCCTCTCAAGCGCCCGACGGCCGCACTGCCACCGCCGATTCTGGAGCCTCACAGGCGGGCTTCGGGGCATGACGGCTGTGCGACTGAAAGGCTGTGAAGTGCAGCCGAGGGAGGCCTTCACAGTAATGTTAACCCCGGATTAATACACCCCTGGTTGATTCTCATCGGGGGTGCCCCCTTTTCGTGGGGATTCGAATCACTTTTGGAGGGAACGCCCCCCTAATACTGGGACGGGTTTCTTAATCCTGGGTCAACATTAGTCCCCTCAATCCTGGACTGCAACCCCCCGCGAAGCAATGCCTTTGGTATGGTGCTGGCTTGGCTCAAAACGAGGGGCACTGACCATCACTTGTCTCTGCTTTCTCTGGTTCCCGCCTTTGCTGTGCGACTGGTTGCGTCCCTGCTTCGCCTCACAAGTCCAGGCCGTCAACCTGTAAGTGCCCCTTGATTACTTGGGTTGCAACCCCCTCTTGCTAAGAACATCCAACCCGGGCCCGCTGTTGTTGATCATATGTTGATCATTCGCAGTTTGGAACTGGCTGGAGGACGAGGAACTCAGCAACCACCCAGCCACTCCAACTCACACTGACGCACGGTCCGGACCAGCACTCAGGCAGCCACGATCTTTCACGATCGCCTCAGCGACTGCTGTCGTGTATCCCTGAGGACGAATCTTTGAGGCATCCATTCCGAATTCACATGTTATGCACCGCATCTCCCATGTAGTTGGCATATTGTCATTCTGTTAAGTCCCACAGGCCCAAAACACCTGCTTGATTGATTCCGGGGAGTGTTGCGGACCAGAGCGCCACTCAAACGAGCAACCCTCTGGCCAACTCAAGGCACTAATAAGTCCAAGCATCGGTCACGATCCCGCTGCTTATCACGATCTCGGTCTCGATGCCGACTTTTCCTTAGATTGTGGGGGTTTGAGCTCGTCTTAAAAGCCAAACGGGGAGGTACCTCTTAACGACACCACCAACACAAACTACCAACTTGGGAATTTAAGGTAAACTTCATCATGTCAACTGGTACTCCAAGCAAAAAGTCTTGCCACACTCCCCCCCCCAACTGACTTGCGACTTGCGGCCGCGTGGCTCCCGCCTTTTCTTGCGGTCTCTCGACCTGGTGCAGTCTGGAAATCAGTGAAACCATCTATCATCAATCAAATTGATGCAAGGGGCATCCCGATTATGAAGGTTTCATCGCTGTTGAGTAGAGGTTATCCCAACTGTAAGGTGGTTTCATAGTTTGAGGTGGTTTCATCCCAAATCAGTGAAGCCATCCCTGCATCCCGATTTGTTCTTTGCCTGCCGCCCTCCCAAGAAGTAATTACGGGGGCAAAAAACGAAAGCCAGGGGTCCGTTGTCGCAGCCAGGCCAACATGAAACCTTGACAATCTGAAACTCGCCGCAGGGTGTTCCACATGAAACCAGGGTCCACCACAGCGCAATATGTTTGTCAAGCGTCGAATGAACCAAACACTCACGTGTGCACAACATAAACCACGTGCAATTCCTTGCCTGCTGTAGCCACTGTCAGAGGAGTAGTCCCTACCTCAGGCGTGGGTCACAAGGCGAGCGTCCTCAACCTACTGTGGCCAGGGGGCAACGTGCACCTTGTTTGCTTGCCTTTTTTCGTGGGGTCCAAGTGCAACTAGCGCTGCCAACGTCTGAGCCAAAAACGCATTCTCCCCGAGGATCGGGCGCTTTCTGCTCCTCTCTCTTGTTTTCCTTCCCGCACACAGTTGAAGGGCAAATGTGGGGACATCAAAGGACATCAATTCTCTGAGTGGCTAAACTGGCCACTCAAGCTCATCGTTGACAAAGCAATGCATGTCATTCCCAAACGGGCCATATTGTGCCATGAACTGCTTACGTTGACTATGTTGACTTTCAAAACCAGCCTACATGGCCGTTTGGCACAACCCCCCATGGTTGGCTTGGGCGCCAAAACTGGTTGATCTCCTCTTGCCTTCCCTTCAAACATTCGACCCTCAAAGCCAGTCTCCGTGAAATCCAGTGGAAAACATCCGAGAAAAAAGGTCCGAGGTCTTCTGCTTCAGGAAGCACCCAAGCTGGCCGGTTGCCGCGCCTGTCGCGCTTCGACTCCGAAGCGTCTGTCTCCTCGCGGTTTGCGGCAACCAAGCCATCTGAATAAACCCTTTTCGAGTCACTGGGGATCGTTTGTGGTTTGGGGACCCCAATGGCACAGCAAAAAAATACGCTGATTTCTTTCGGTGGGGACCCACAAAACCGGGGTGCCGCTGGACAACCGCCCCCGAAATCCGAACCGAGCAGCGCGAGCAGGCCATGCTGAGTGAACAGCTTGTGCAGATTGAGAGCTATGCCCATTTGGAGCTGCGCAATCTTCAACTGTCAACCCAGTTGAGCCCTGAATTTGCGTTTCGAGAAACAAGGGGAACAGTACAGTGCGTTGCACTCTTCTTCCTTTTCGTGAGAAGCCAACTCAATCAACAAGAGCAGGTGCCGCTTGCCTTAAAACTCAAAAAAGGCGGTTGGGCCTTCTACCCTTGGGATGTCGTTCATGGCATTTGGATGCTTGACTACGTCTAATCGTCTAATCTTCTACGCGTGGGCCTTAGCCACAGCCACAAGCTTGGCAACAAACTGATGCGGTTTGGCGGCTCCAAGCAAGACTGCAACTCAACTTGATACAACGCAACTCCCTTGGCATGCTCCTTGTGCTCCTTATCCTTCTGTCTGTCCTTTTCCTTCTCCTTCTCCTTCTCCTTTTCCTTCTCTTTCTCTTTCTCCTTCTCCTTCTCCTTCTCTTTCTCCTTCTCCTTCTCCTTCTCCTTCGCCCTGTCCTTGTCTTTCTCTTTTTCACGCTCCTTGTCTTTGGGCTTCTCCTTTTCCTTCGGCTTCTCTTTTACGTTTTCTTTATCCTTCTCTTTGGCCTTCTCAGCCTTGCCGTTCGCCGGCTCCTTCTTTTTCTCCTTCTCCTCAGCCGAAGCACTGAAATGGGTATGTGTCAAAGTTGGGGGGGGGCTACCAAAATTGTGGCTTTCCATTTGGTTTCCTTGAAGCCAGCCCCAGCAAGGGTACCCTCGACAAACAAACACCCAAGCGCAGTTCCGATTCGGCGTATGGAAGTGCGATGCGGCATGAAGTCCTTGGCGACTTCTTTCTTGCCTGCTACCTTCGCTTCTTTTCCCTGCTTGCGTCGCAACATCCAAACTCCAACCGCAACGTCCAAAAAAATCAAACCCTACCACTGCAAGCGTCCACAAGGCGCTTTTTACCTCGCGCCGTCTTTGGCGAGGTCACTGCCTGAACGGACAGCACAGCTCGGAACCGCATCCGCTCAATTCACCTGCCAGCCAACCGGCCGCTTGGGTGCGTGGTTGCGCCGCTTGGGCCGGCGCTCAGAAAGGAAAAGACCTTGTCCAGGAAGTCTTTCAAGAATCCCTGGATGCACGCGGGCTGATGGGAGAATCCCTGGGTGCCTAAAACCAGGCGGTTTGTTTGCTCAAAGCTTCAGAAATGCTCCTTTGGCATGGCCCCATGTGACCCCTCCGTTTAGGGGGGGATCCGGGATCAGGCCTAAACAACACTGTTCAACGTGGGAAACATGCACTTGCCAAGTCCGGTTTCACCCATCACTAGAAGCATTGCAAAAACAGAAGAGTACGGAACACAAGCGACCAGGGCTTTGAATCCTTGCTATTCAAGAGAGAGGCCAAAACGAAACCAACACGCTGCATGTTGCCCAACTCCGCCTGAGGTAGCCTCGCCATTGGACACCGGCTCGCCTTGCCGACTTGGCAGAATCCACGCAGTGCCCAATCCCCGCACAACCCACAGCTGAAGGTCATCCCAATCTGCTTCAAACTAATCACGCGTGCCCATCCAGTTGCTTCTGGTGTGCTTCTCTTTAGCCTGCTGTAGCTGTTGCTGCACCTATTGTCGCTGCATCTTGAAAGTTGTGCCCCTGCTCTTGGCCATGGTTGGTTTGCAGTAGGTAGCAAAAGCATCGCCCCGAAGCCAGCCCGAGCCCAGCGCATCTTCTTTGTGCACAGCGATGCCTTGCCGGGCCCAGTCTGCGGATCCCATTTACCTCTTTGGGACCAGTTTTGGTTTCCACCAATTAGCTGTCAAATGGCGGCCCCTGCTTACCTACTAAGCAGGAAACTGTCTTTCCGAACTTAGGCGCAGATTGTCAGCGCCACACCCTCAGCTTAGCAAATGCTTCCCCGTCTAACTTCAATGATGATGCGAAGCGTGAGAAGGGACAAGCACCAACAACCGTGACTGCCACGGGCAGGACAGAAACGACATCACAGCAACACACAGCCCAAACACTACCACATGGCATAGTCTCGAATTGAGGTGGCCATGGCAACTCCAAAGTGAATGCTTTGAGGGGGCATCTTACGGCCCATCTATATCTATATTATATATATATATATATATGTACACGTGCGTATACGCTTAAAGGGAGTTGTATACATCTTAAACAATACAGCTAGCATACATATTATATATATAATATTGTTCACGCGGGTACATTAACATGCACGCAATAAACGCATGCCAAAAGTGCTCCAAAGACTCTGTCAAAGCTGGTCAAGGGAAGCAAAACCCGAACTCTCCGTTGGAATGAACCCTTTCAACAACCCTTTATGGTTTCCTTTGAGGGAAACCCTAGGTTCATTGCCAAAACCGTGTCATCCCCTAATTACTAAACACCAGGCATCACAGGCATCTGGACCCCTAGCAAAACTCCCCCATGATTTCCTGTAAGGGCAACCCTATCCCGGACGGCCATTCCGTAGCAACGCATTCGGACCGGTCTCGAACCCAGCCGGGGCTGCAAAGCAGCCGCCGCTGCGGCCAGTCTCCCCGGCGCCGCAGCCGCAGCGCCGGGAGGAAGCGGCGGGTCGACGGCTTTGGGGGCCGGTCTTTGAGCACCAGCCTCGGGCGCGCCGAAGGCGCGCCTTCTGTCACTCAGCTGGAGTTCGACAACGTCAGTTTGACTGCTTGAGGTTGCAGATTCTACGTAAATCAGGCTCCAAAGGATAGGTGGAGTCAGATTTTTTCTTGGAGGACTTAGAGCTTCCCCCGCAACCGAATGCTTCGACTGGTGATCATGGCAAGTGAACACTCTCTCCGCAACATATGACGTGTTCGTACGATACTGCTGCAGCATTTTGCTCTGCGTGTGCTGGAGTTGTTGAGTTTGTCCCGACTGATGCTTCATCTTGTTGCTGAAGCGGAAAGACTCGCTGGACTCGCAGCCTGTAAGCGCCTTCAGGTTTCGGAAGATCGTGCTCGTTGAAACGAGCATGTGATCCCCGTAGCTCCAGCTCCCGCAGTGACCAGCATTTCAAGATTCCTCCCAAAGAAGGGCAAGTGCCCACACTTGGTCAGTGCCAAGTTACGCAGGGCTGCTTCAGACCCCATGTCTCATGCGTCCTTTTGAGATGTTTTGAATCAGCCGATGGTTTGACCACGGCAATGTTGTGGAATTCAAAAGTGACATGTTCGACTTGTGAGCTTGGGCAAAGCTCCGGGTCATCAAGTTTGCCCTTCGCAGATTGAAACGCCTTCGCGCACTGGTGACGTTAGCTAACAGCCGATGGGCACTTGGTGGTCCGGCGGTCAGCCAATCCCATTTCACTTTGCTGTACGTAATGGTGCTCAGGGCTCTTTGGTGAGATCACCTGCGTGACCTCAGTGTCATTCAAATGTTGCCGTGAAAATGGAAATTGAAGAGCAGCATTGATAATCCACCGCGTGTTCACGTGGCAAGGTCCATGTTTTGAACTGTGCTAACAAGGGGTAGGGTCACAAGCTGAAGCCGGGGCTGGTTTCCTGTAAGCATTGCAGTTGGGGTGACTTCGATGGTGAACTGCCGAGGTCAGCAGCAGCAGTGCAAAAACAACTAGCTTTGAAAGCCTACCACGACAACCCTGAAACTCCTGAACTCCCACAGCAAAAGCACCCCGGCTCCGAACCAAGGCGAAACAAATGCAAATATCATGCAACACGCAGCAGGATATGTGCAACCCGCGATCACTCGTGTGTGGATGTGTGTGTGGACCCACGCACAAGCAAAAACACAAACAAAAAAACACAGAAACACACCAGCAATACACAAATGCACAACCACGCATACAAGTACATAGAAAAAGCACCCACGCACACGCGCAGTTAAAAAAGGAAGAACAAAAAACAGTGTGCTCGATAAGGGGGTCTGGAAAATGAAACCATGGCTTCCTCTTATTCGGCAACTTGGCACCACAGCAGTAGTCAGTCCGAAGTCAGAAACACGCGATCGATCCCGCACACCTGAGAAACCATCCGGGCATCCACACACTTGTCTCACAGGAGGCGCGCTTCTTGGCCCCTGAACCTGGCAAGTGGCGCTTGCGTGGGGTGACGTCTTTGACTCGCGGCCCGAGTCATGACACTCAAGTAATCCGTTCCCCCTATTAATAAAGGTCTCCCTAATAATAAATATTTGTTTCGGAAGTCCCAAATCCGGGAATACTACTTTTAGAATAGCCAATACTAAACCAATTCTAAAGTAGATACTTTCTGTACGTACAAAGTTCCCGAGCTTTCAAGCCAGCGCTCCGGGGAGCACGTTTCCTTTACTACGGTTGTACTACAAAGTTGCGACTTTCGAGCCAGAGCTCCGGGAGTACGTTTCCTTTGAGAACCTGCCCTCCAAAACCTGCCCTCCAGAACCAGGGGACCCCTAATAATAAAAATTGTTTTGCAGGCCGGGTATTTTTTTTATTAGGGAGGGGGGGGGGGGGGCGTCGTTTATTATTAGGGGGAAGGGATTAGCGCGATTTGTCGGATGCGCTTAGGCCCTCCATAGTCCAAAGTGCTTAGATGTTCAGCTGGACAACTGCATGGTGACAGGTAAGGGGCACCATGGACACATGATGTCATGTGTGAGATCGCACGTCTGAACTTACAATTTAGAACCACGAGAAGCGGCGGGTCCCCATCCTTCCGACAATTGCTGGACACCCCACGGCTCTTTTCTGGCTTGGCAGGGGCACAAGTCTGGCCTGGTATCATGCGCGCTCAACCTAGTTGCCCAGTGGCCATGCGGAAATGACGCCGTGGGTTGTTGGGCGACCAATATGATAAGCTAGAACACGCCGCACCACTGAACGACTAGGCTCCATTGCACGGCAACCCTCGCAAGCCGAGGGTCGGCACTGGCCTACGGCCTCCGGCGGAGTGGGAGGCCTCTTTTTCAAAGAGCCCCCCCCCACGCGAGCCGCGAGCTGCGAGCGCGCGCCAATGCGCAAATTCGTGCGCTTGAACTAACTACACGCCTGGAGTGCCACACGCATCCTGGCAACAAGACCCGCCCCAAGCGCGCGACAGCTTCTTGCGGGCTCAACTTCGGCGGGTCCAGAATCTCAGCCTGGCACTGGCAAGCAGGCGACAGCGACTGCTCCTTTTTTCAATGTGGGCTGCAACCCGCCTGCTGGAGAAGCTGCCGAAAGGTGTGCAACTGCAGGGCTAGTGATGATGGCTGATGGCTCAACCGACAGCTTCACTTCCCGGCTGGATTTAGCGCAAGCCGGAATCGAAAAGGAAGCAAGCCACTGTGATACCAAGAATCGCTGAAGAAAGCTCTCCCCACCTCTGCACGGCTTTGTCATCTCCGTCGGGCTGCTTGCCTTGCTGCGTTGCAAACAGTGGTTGGGGCAAGCTCCCTCTGCCGCTCTTTCCACTTTACTCCCCCTCCGCCAAACAAGATTCCGTTAGTTCGTGGTTTGGAGGAGCCCAAAGGCAAAGGAAGGGGGGGGTAAGGGATAAGGGGGGCTGGATCCGAAAACTTCAGGCCGCGTGGCGCAAGAAGGCATCCAAATCCTTTGGGAGCACATACTCGGCAATGATGGACACATCGTCCTGCCGTTCTCGGCCAACAATGGCCTAAGGCGAACAACACGGGATTTTTCCTCACATTCCAGTGCGCTGAAATAATTCGGTGAGCAATCTGCATCTAAATACAAAAAAAGAGGCTTAATGAAGGGATCCCCAAGGAAAGGATCTTTCTCATAGGGAGCTCCTTATACCCCAGCCATACATTCGGCAGAGCAGTGCACGACTGCTCCGTCCTTCAGGCTGCAGACGACCCGGCTGCCTGGCATCGCAGGGAGGAATGGAAGCTTCCGTGGCATG